CGGAGATAAGTCAAGTTAGTAACTTTAGTTGCTTGAGGGTTTATAGAATTACCTCGGTGCATGGCTTGTTGGTGATCCGGGTGGCACTTATGTTGTGTATCCGGTGGTATGGATTCAATGACTCCTCAGGCATGGCTTGTTGCTGATTTTGTTGGGCAGCAAGGCGTTGTAGTCTCTTTGATCCCTCCTTTGGTCTCCTCGTGTCTTAGGTTTTTTTTTGGGTACCTAGACTTGTCATAGTCTCTTTTGGACAAGACAAGCGCATTATAGCAGTCATGGAATCAATAGAAACAATTTGATTCTTCTTGGTACTTACCTTGATAAGATCTTTGGTTTGTTCCACTTTTTCTTTCGTAGGCAACACAAAGTGAAGGGTCATTAGAGTTTGCTTTGGTTCTGTTGTAAACTCTCTGACTTTGACCATGTGCTCCTTAGTGGCTCCTAGGCATGTCTTAACTTCTTTTGACAAAGACAAGTGCATGATACTAGTATTTGAAGTTTCAAGATCAGGTTTAACTAGCTTACCACATCCTCTAACATTTTTCCCTTTTAATTATAAAGATGTGAGGTTTGCTAACTTCTTAGTTTGACATTCTTTAGGATATTTCTTTTGTTTTGACACCTATAACACATTACTTCAAGTAATTTCAAAGTATTAGAGGACTTACCTTGAGTTTGAACTGCTGGTGATTGTCGGGATAAGTCGGGTGGTTTATCCTTTATCAAAAGGGAACATGTAACTCGATGTTCTTGTTTCTGGAATAGAATTGCACAACCTCTAGTGAAATCTCGTACTTCACTATTTGTTTCTCCATTATGTTTTCCTTGAACCTTGGTTCGTTGAGATGATTCTGTTGGCTCATCTTTGGTTAGCAAGGTGTCAATGACACTATCATCTTTCTCTATTGTGGGTTTGAGCAGAGCGGTGTCAAGAACGGCTTGGTTTTGAATTTGATCTAAGAGCATGCTTTGTCTAAATTTTGATCCTACTCGGTCTTTGAAATCTTCTAAGGCACATGTACCTATGTCAACACTCACAGGCAAAAGCAATGCATTATACTTGAATTTAAATTTTTAAAACCAGCATGTTTTGGAATAGGGCTTACTTTGATATTATCCACGTCTTCAACAAGGTTTTGAACTTCACTTACTTGTGGATTATGGCAATGGGTATGCTCAGATTCTATTTTTGTTGAACCGTCTCTCGTGGGATAGGCCTTTGCAATGTGTTTTTGTACCTTGCACCGATAACAAGTTAGTTCATTTGATGTTTTTGGGGCAGAACACTTATCTTGATCATTTGCTTGCCATCCACACATGGCTGTTGGATTCAGGTCTTGTTTAACCTTCTTCTCCCAAGCTACTTGTCGCACCCCATGTGGCTTAACTATGGCGTTGGTAGATACCATTTCAGTATGGTGGGCGTTCTGGTGCATTGACTTAGGATTTAGATGTTTCTTGTATCCAGCTTGTTCGTTTTGTGTGTGATACACTCTTTGAGCACTGGTTTTCTTGGGCTGGGGCATTTTCCACAAACTCAGAATACATGAGTCTCTTCATGTCTTCCCAAGTGTAAGTTGGACCATTGTAGTTAAGCCGAATTGCTTCTTCCTCCTCCCAATTGTTGAAAGCTTCTCTGAAAAGGTTTCTTCGGCATAGATTGGTTTATCTTGTTCTGGAATTTTCGGTGACTCGAACCAATCCTCTATGTTTTCTTCCCACCTTAAGTATGCTTCTAGTCATGTCATGACCTGAAAAAGAGATAAGTTGTAAATCAAATCGATCACAACTTTTACCATAATTGTTGATGGTTTGGTAGGTGTAATGATGAGGACATCGAGCTAAGCTTAACCGAGTCCAACGAAGAAGTCAACATACCAACGATGAGGAATACTCCACGGACAAGGTCAGGGACAAAGAGCTTAAGAGAAGAATTCAACAAGTCTGTCGAGGGTCTACTTACTCTTATAGAGCATATAGAGCTCAAAGGAAAGTTGCTCACTACAGAGATCAGCCTAGAAACACCAATCGAGCCTCAAGGAGAATGAAGCACGTCAAAGGCTCAAGAATGGGAAATTGCCCAAGACATTAACTATGCTGAGTTAGGAACACGTCAAGAAACCAAGATTATCAAAGGAAGTCAAGAGAACGCTTGCTTGCTGCTCAAGACTCAATCAATCTCTTTCTTGCCAGTTTTACAAGGAACTAATGAGACAGCTTTGTTCATCATCTCAAACACATTCAAAGGAGGACTGGAGCTTTAAAACACGTAGAATACTCCAAGGAGCCAAGGTGAGTATTTGAATTTGAATACAATAACAAGTTTTCTTTTTCTATTTTGCAGGATTTTTCCTTTCTTTGTGTTGTTTTCTTTTTATTGTCTTAGACGTCCTAGCATTTATTTTAAGAGTATCTGTCGTTTTTATGTCTTGAGTAGACCCTAGAAGGTCACAACTGCTAGACTATTAATAAGGTCCCTTTTCAGCTTTATAGTCACGTTTTTACCTAATCAATAAAACGAGTATTTTCTTGCAAAGAAACCCAGCCGCCTCTTGTTTTCTTTGTGTGCGATTCCATAGAAGCCTGAAGCATAGACTTATCACAGAGTCTCTCATCCTCTGTGTGGCGTCCCTCGATCCCCTAGTCACTGATTTCATCACCATCCATCATATCATCGCTATTGTTTCTCTAGAGAGAGCCGTACGGCCAGCTAGTGATTCACCATCTATCTCAATCATTCTAAGAGCGTACCAACACCTACATCATGTAATTGCATGGTTCTTGGTTCGATGGGTCTGGTTCCAATGCTTCACACGTATACTCTTCCTCTAGACTGATTTCAGTCTTAATCTCTTCACACCGTGAGCGATCTTCATCTTCAGAATATTCATGGTTCCTTGTTAACTATTCTGAGAGTCTAGATTCCATGGTTTTGTTTTCTTGGTCTCCTTTTTCATGTCCAGGGTATTGTTCCTCATATTCTGGCTCTCCTTCTTCATGTTCTGGTTCTTCACCAAAACATGCTTCAAATTCAGCCTCCTCGTGCCAAGGCTTGTCTTCGTATTGAGTTGCCTATCCTAAGCTGATTTGAGACTCAGTTTCTGATGCAATATCAAAAAAGGAATCAAAGTCTTCAATGCAAGAGTTTATTATGAGAATATCATCCTCATAATTCCACAAAAAATCAAAGGATTCTCATTCAATGTCAAATGTTAAATTGATAGAAGAAGATTTTATTTGATTTAGCTAATTTTCTCATTTTCTTTAAATGTAAATATTTTCATTTAATGTATATTATTGTAAATATTACATTGTAAGAACTATAAAAAGCTCAATTGTTTTATTGTAAAGATATAGAATTTTTTGAAATTAAAAGAGAGAGTTTTTGTCAACTTTGAAGCTTAGGTTTTGTTTGCTTGTCTTTTCTATTGTGTGTGGTTCCTTTAGAAAACAAGTGGAATCTATGTCTTTGTGTGCAATTCACATAGATATCGATTCGTGTTCTTATCACAAAGTCATTTCGCAACTTTGTGTGGTGAACTTCGATCCATTCAAGCCGTAGGCCTTGAAACCGTGTGATAATAAGGTTGGTGTGATTTCGAGTCTTATATCAGTTTCTTCCTCCCATAAGTCTTCTTCTTCTTCGTACCACCTATTATAGCTTAATTTATCTTTGGCATGGTCTGGTGGTTCATGCTCAGGTTCTTCTTTGCCTAGTTGATGATCATAGTCCTCTTCATTCTAAGACCATGGGTCATCCATGTAGGTATCCTCCTCACCGTACATGCTCTACTCAGAATCAATCTCTTGATCCCAAGTGTCCTCCTCAGCCATTGCGCTCCCTGATAAATTGAAAGTCCTTGAACTC